AAATTAAATGCAATTCAAATAAGAATCTCCACATAACCTTAGAGGGTGGTGGTTGTGGTAGTGAGATTGGATAAAAGATTATAAGGTTTTCATGGCAGACTAAATTTGCAGAATAGTCAAGTAAGGTATGAAATAGGAAACAAAAAGACTTGCTTTCACAGATATCAGAAATAACGCAAAGTCTCTTTAATCAAAACAGTATGGGGACAGGAATATGCAAACAGATAATACGAAGAACAATCTAGAAATCAATCCCAGCATATATGAGAATTTAAAATATGACAAAGATGGTAGTTCTACTGAGTAGGAAAATAGGAGTAGCACAACTGGTTATCCATCTGGGAAGAAAGCAAAATCAGATTGCTATCTTATGCCATGTACAAAAATAAATTCCAGATGGATTAAGGGCATAAAAATTAACACATAGAATAAAAACCTTGCAAGAAAATGTTAGAAACCACATTTACAACATCTAGAGACAGAAGAGGGCTTAACCAAGACACAATTTTCTACATACAAATTAAAGATGTCTTGTATGGCATAAAACCATAAATAAAATCATTAAAAAACATTTATAATGCATATGCAAAGAATTAGTAGATATACATGGAGAGTGTTTAGAAACTGTTATCTTAAAAAGATTTCATAGATAAATGTACAAAGAACATGAAGGGGTAATTTATAGAAGAGGAAATCATTCAAATTTACCCGTAGGAAGAGAACTGCAAACTAAAAGATACGCTGGGCTGGGCACGGTGGCTCACGCCTGTAAACCCAACACTTTGGGAGGCTGCGGTGGGCGGATCACGAAGTCAGGAGTTAGAGACCAGCCTGACCAACATGGTGAAACTTCATCTCTAGTAAATACAAAAATTAGCCAGGCGTGGTGGCATGCACTTGTAATCCCAGCTACTCAGGAGGCTGAGCCAGGAGAATCACTTGAACCCAGGAGGCTGAGGTTGCAGTGAGCTGACATTGCACCACTGCACTCCAGCCTGGATGACAGAGCAAGACTCCATCTCCAAAAAAAAAAAAAAAAAAAAATGTTGGCATCACTTACATCCTTACATCTACTGATAGTAAAAATTAAATATAATAATAATACTGGTTGGGATACAGGACAGCAGGTACTTTTTTGGTACAACTACATGTAACTAAATTGCTGATGGAACTTTGAACTATCACATCCTAGTGCATTGCCATAGTATCTGACACATAATTAGTGCTCAAAAAGGTAGCTATTACTATTGTTCTATTATTTCCCTTTTGGATCCCTACTAAAATTTTAAAAACTCAAAAGTTTTCACTTTAAAACGTGAAACAGGGAGAACAAAGAGGGTCTCCAAGCTAACTACATTGCTTATTGAAATAAGAAATACCTTTAAAAGCATACTATGTATTTTATGTTACTGAAAGGTCCTTTGTCCTTGGGTTAAACAAGCATATGCAAAAATTCCTACAAGACAGGCTTGACAATTAATGCAAAATGATGACAAAGACATTACTCAGTTGTTTGCCAAGTTAACTTTTATGATCTTCACTCTTGATCTAAATCAAGTCACTCTTTCCTGCTCTAGTCTCTGAAGAAGCTAAGCAAAAAAAAAAAAAAAAAATCCCTAAAATAATATTATATGTAAAATTTCAGAACACAAAGCATATAGCTGGCGAAGAAGCCATGTTCAGAATAAATACCTTCTAGAATTTAGTAGTGTGTATATATACATAAATATTATCTATAAATATGTATAATATGTACAAATCCTGCCTTGTGCAAGAATGTTTATAGCAGTTTTATTCATAATAGCTAAAACTGGCAAAGAATCAAACATTTGCAATAGCAGAATATATTTTTAAAGTATGGTTTATTCATATAATGGAATACTCTAAACAATTTTTAAAAAAGAGAACAAAAAAGCTACTGATACACACTCAAAATAGATGAGCAAAAGAAGTGACACACAAACGAGTACATGCTGTGTGAGTGTATAACTGCATTAAATTAATTTCAAGGCTGGGCGTGTAGGTTCACTCCTGTAATCCCAATACTTTGGGAGGCTGTGGCAGGTGGATCACCTGAGGTCAGGAGTTCAAGACCAGTCCGGCCAACACGCTGATACCCTGTCTCTACTGAAAATAAAAAATTAGGTGGGCTTGGTGGTGTGCGTCTGTGATCCCAGCTATTTGAGAGGCTGACGCAGGAGAATCGTTTGAACCCAGGAGGTGGAGGTGCAGTGAGCTGAGATCACAACATTGCACTCCAGCCTGGTTGACAGAGCAACCAGAAAAGAAAAATTCAAGAACAATCAAAAGTAACCTATGGAGAGAAAAGTCAGAATAGTGATTACTCAGGGTACTGTATTAAGAGTAGTTATGAATACAAGGGTACATGAATAACTTTTGGGGGTTATGGATATGTTCTTGCTCTCGGTAATGATCACTGCAGTGTATTTACATGTAAAATGTCATGGAGCTACACATTTAAAAAAAAAGTAGCTTAAATGCAAACTTTGACAGCTCAACTAGTAGAGTGGAGGACTATAAAAAATACCTTACTCCCCCCAAAACATTTCAGAGTAAGTTAAAAGATGTCAATTACCCTTCCCATACAATAATAACTCTTAATTCCATGAAGACACAAAAGAAAAGCAAAACCAACTTATACTAATCATTGTCATTATTTTTTAATTCACAAATATTATGGTGGTTAAATAATGTGTATTTTCTGATCATCTAGCAGCAATTTAAATTAATATATCCATTAAAAAAAATGTGGGGGCCCAGGCACAGTGGCTTACACTTGTAATCCCAGTACTTTGGGAGGCTGAGGCAGGCAGATCACGAGGTCAGGAGTTCAAGACCAGCCTGGACAACAGAGTGAAACCCTGTCTCTACTAAAAATACAAAAATTAGCTAGGCGTGGTGGTGGGCACCTGTATCGGGATGCTGAGGCTGGAGAATCACTTGAACCAGGGAGGTAGAGCTTGTAGTGAGCCTAGATCATGCCACTGTATGCTAGCCTGGGTGACAGGGCTAGGCTCCAGCTCAAAAAATATATATATTTTTTGGAAGTTTAACATGAAATATAAAGTACACATCACCAGTATATACAAATCAAGCAAATGTTTCATATTTTGTTAATAGTCTTTCTTTTAGATATCATATAACTACCAGTTTCCATTTCTACCAACAGATATCACCATTTTCATGGAACCAGAAAAACAGAATCCATTTATTCATAGATACTTCATGTATTTTAAATACTTACCAAAAATATTTAGTTTAAAGCAATAAACTCTTAAGAAGTCATTTTTGACCAAAGATTTTAAAGGACTTCAAAAAAACTAAATAGTGTTACAAATTCAAAATATGATTTGCCAACAAAAGGAAATAATCAACTAAGTGTACCTCTACTAGCTATACATGTTATATAACCTCATTCTTCAATGGCTCCATTCGTAGTATGAATACAATGCTCTACTCACCTTTCTATGCCTGGAATTTATCTCAAATGTTATATTCCTTATAAAGACTCCTGTTCTCCCAAGCAGAATTAATCACTCTTTTCGATGGCTCCCACTGTGCTTTTTTCAGATACATTCTATCGTAAGACAGCTATTTGCTTTTGTGTTTAACCTCCCAGCTCCAACACTGTGGTTGTAATAGTTATTCAACAATAAATGCTAGTTAAACAATTATACCAACTTAATGGAAGGAATCAGAATACTTATTGGGAAAAAAAATCTGTCTGGAAATAAGATTATGAGAAAGAACATTAATATTCTGAGGACATAAAAGTCATTTTCTGGTGAAGAAAGGTCCTATCTCATGCTTGAATGCTATTCTTCCAGGCCAGATGAGGTGGCTCACATCTGTAATTCCAGCACTTTGGGAGGGTGAGGCAATCAGATTGCTTGAGGCCAGGAGTTCGAGACCAGCCTGGCCAAAATGGAGAAACTCCCTCTCTACTAAAAATATAAAAATTAGCCAGGTGTTGTGGCAAGCACATGTAATCTCAGCTTCTTAGGAGGCTGAGGCACAACTGCTTAAAAGCCAGGATGCAGAGGCTGCAGTGAGTCTAGATCATGCCACTGCACTCCAGCCTGGGCGACAGAGCAAGATTCTGCCTTTAAAAAAAAAAAAAAAAAAAAAAAAGAGCTGTTCTTCCCCATAAGGTGTTTTGTTTTTTAAATAACAGCTTTCTAGAGACATTATGCATGCTTTATAAGGTTTTAACTCTTTTTTTTTTTTAAGACAAAGTTTTACCTTCTGTCACACTGAAAAATCTCCCATATTCGTGAAGATTCTGAGAAATCCATTCACAACCCAGGTTTGGGATTTGCATACTATTGGAGAAACTGCTTCCTAAAGATAAACACTTGAGCAATTTGAGAAAACTAAAACTAAAACTGAAAACATGAACACAAAGGATGAAAATTACTTTACATCCTAGTATACTTGTACAAGAAATAGTTTTTCTTGCTTTGCTTGCAAAGCCTTGAGGAATGTATGAACTTCATAGGGGGAACACCATAAAAATGAGGGCTTTTTTTCAATTTAGAGGGATGAGCTAAAAAGAGAATATAATTCTACAATAAGGTTATAGAATTATTTTCTCCCAACTGCAGAAACTGAAACTAAGCCTTCCCTACCAAAAAACACATTTCTGTCAAGTGTGAAAAGTATTAAAATAATCAAAAGAAAATTTTTACACATCACACAGCACAAGTAGTTTGACTAAAAATGTAATTATAGTAAAAAAAAAAAAATCTGGATATACAATGGGCTAGAAGATACCTTTGGCTTCTGAGGTGAAATCAATCAAGGAGAAAAAACTGTGACTTCTTTGTGCAACAGAAAAAAACACCTTAGAGCCAGAAGTATTAACAGTTCTATTCTTAAAGGAATCATAAAAAATTCTTGTAAGTCAAGTAACCACAATGATCTTTTCATCACAAATATCTAAAAGAATTAATGCTGAAGCTGAATTATCACCCCCTTACCTTTGTGATGAGAATGCGGTATTTTTCTACCAGGTGGTCATTGTTATGACAGCCGGCTAGCAACTGCCAGACTTCTCCTCGAAGAGCTTCAGGAACACCGTTTCTTACTAAGGATGACAACTGCTTTGGTCTCACATTCAAGTTGAGATGCCTAAAAATAAACCCATAAACCATAAATCATAAAAGGAAGATTCTCTAAAGAGTGTTACTTTTATCAAAGTCTATCTAAATGGCTTACAAATACATGACACGGAAACATGGCAATAAAGAAAAAAAAGTGCTGCTGAATTAGACGGGGCCAAGATAACCATGAGATTGTGTAGAAGAAAATAAAAATCCACATAGATTCTGTAAACTGCTTCTTAAATATCTTTAAATTACTTCTCTACTTTAAAAAAAAAAAAAAAGCAAAACTGGAAATCATACATGATGCTCTATGGCTAGAGTTTATGTAAAAAAGATGGCTGGGTACAGTGGCTCACATCTGTAATCCCAACACTTTGGGAGGCCAAGGTGGGCGTTATCACCTGAAGTCAGGAGTTCAAGATCAGCCTGGACAACATGGTGAAACCCTGTCTTTACTAAAAATACAAAAAGTTAGCCAGTCATGGTGGCACATATCTGTAATCTCAGCTACTCGAGAGACTGAGGCAGAAGAATTGCTTGAACCAGGAGGTGGAGGTTGCAGTGAGCTGAGATCACACCACTGCACTCCAGCCTGGGTTACAGAGCAAGGCTCAATCTCAAAAAAAAAAAAAAAAAAAAAGACCAACAGTAGACACATAATAAGAATCTGGCTCTACATCAAAACTGACACGTGGTCAGCAGGGCACGGTGACTTATGTAGTTCCACTGCTTTGAGAGGCCAAGGTGGGAAGATTTCTTGAACCTGGGAGATCGGGACCAACGTAGGTAATATAGCAATACCCCGTCTCTACAGAAAATAAAATAAAAATTAGTGGGCATGATAGCTGTAAGTCCTAGCTACTTGGGAGGCTAAGGTAAGAAGATTCCTTGAGCCCAGGAGTTCAAAGCTGCAGTGACAGATCGCACCACTGCACTCCAGCCTGGGTGACAGAGACTTTGTCTAGAAAAAAAAAATTACAAGAATATTGTATACTTAGACGTTCTAAGTTAAAATATCTCAAGTATGTTTCTAACAGTTTTTATGATGCCTTCCTTCAAATAAGTTTTATGAATGTTTACAGTGGCTAATAATATTTCCACTGAACTACTGTATCACTACAAGTTACCAAAATCTTTCGACTTCATTTATGTCACCTATAAAATGGGGAAAACAAAAATAGCCTTGAAATGGTGGTATACATGTACAAAGTGTTTCTGCATACCGTATCTTATATCTTCAGAACCACCACCAGAGGTAGATCGTAGTATCTCTAGTTGTACAGATGGAGAAAAAATTTTAGGGTGGTCAATTAAATGACTGAGGTAGTCCTCAAACTCCTAAGACTAATGAATGTTCTACCTGTTATATAGCAGCTGGTTTATGACTTGAGAGCCACCATTACTGGGTCAATAAAGCAGGATGCTGACATAAAAGAGATTCTGTGATTATCAGATGTAAGCAGAAGTTACTGATACAATATAACCACTATCAAATTCTAAAAAGGCCTGTGATTTTTCTCAAAACGTTCAAAGAATCCTATGAGAGTTCTGCACAGTACGTTTAAAAGTGTTTTGTTCTGTGACATTGGTACCTTAATGCAAATGCTATAGACAATGCAATATAGTTTTGTCCTTGTTTAGATAAAAACATTATATAAAATTTGAAGAGTTATGAGCAGAGAAAGCACACACAGTTCTGTTGCTAATTCAATCCCTAGTGTGCTATGGCCTGTGGGCCAAACTGGGCCCACCACCTGTTTCTATTAACAAACTTTTACTGAAATAAATCCATGCTTATTTGTCAGTATCGTGTATGATAGCTCCTGCACCACAATACTAGAACTGAGTAGTTGTGACAGACTATTAACCTGCAAAGCCTAAAATATTTATTATTTGGCTCTTTACAGAGAAAGTTTGCTAACCTTACTAGCTTAATTTACATTGACAAAATTACTTTCAGAATAATTTCATCTCATTGATAATACTAACTTTATCCAACTTAGCATCCTATTTTATGCAGACATTAGTTCTCTTATCCACTACGAGCCACGCTAAAATCAACATGGAGAATTAGAACTCAAAGATATTATTAATACTACCACTAAAATCTAATGTTGAGTCAAATAAACCAGCTTTGGGATCAGACTTGACTGTGTTAAAAATTCTGGCTGCGCTATTTACTAACTAGAATACCTTAACCTCTGAACCAGTCTCATCTATGAAAAAGATACTACATTATAAGGTTGTTACAGGTGAAACAGAGCACATAACAGCACAGTACCTAAAATATGGCAAATTCATTAGTTCTATGTTACTCCAACTACAATCATGACATCTATTAATCTATAATAATTACAAATGCTAAGCTTATAGACTTCTTTCTAAATGAAGAAACAGACTCAGAAGAGTTAAGTGACTTGTCTAATACCACACGGCTTAAAAGTAGGAGAGGCAGAATTTTAAACCAGGCCTACCAGGCTTTAAAATTCCATTAAAAGGCTGCTTATCCACAAAACACATATCCATAGAAGACATATAATAATAAGAAAAAATAATGATGTAATGAACTGAAGAAGAAATACTATGTTATTATACCTGAAGACATGACTAAAACAAGCAAAAATAGTAGAGACAGATGGAAACTCAATAAACACATTTGAAGGAATGGAAAGACATGTTAATTAAATGAATAACAAAGCCTGATAGCAAAACAAATTCCAAGCTGTTGTATAAGATGCTGATGGGTTCATGTAATAAAATCTAACTAGAGTCTTAATGCTATATCTACATGATATTAAATATATTATTATGTAACCATGTCAAAATTCAATTACATTTCTGTTTTAGAGCAGAAACCTTTTATACAGATAAAATTCCTGCCAGCAGCAGCCAAAACACTCCAAATTCACTGAACTGAAAATGTAATTGTGACAAGACCACCAGAAGTTTTGTCTCCTGATGTAAAAAAACATCAAAAATATAAGAGAACCCTGGGGGTTTTTGCAGAGTTCATTTATTAAAACAACTTATGTAAAGAAAAACCATGCTTGAGTTTGCTTTTTTCTCCTGTACACATTTGACATTTTCCAATGTGGAGAGTGTTTTGTCAAAAGTGTAAAGCACTGTGAGAGTAACATAAAAGCAGATGATGCCCATTTGTAGTCCTATCCCTTAAGGGCATGACATAATGCTTTAGAATTCTGAGACACAACTTTAACAACGCAGTGAAATACTTCAACAGTTAAAACTTCCAAGAAAAGTCAAACCTGAAGGTAACAGGTCCACAGGGAGTTTATATGACAACTCTAATAACCAGAATGTCAGAAATAGAGAAGTGCTCAGATGACTTCTAAGCTCACCTTTTTTCAGCATATACTGGCATCCTGCTCAAGGAGGAAAGGACACTGTATAAATGTCTCACCAAGCTGACTTACCAGAATATCTGTGGTTATGTTAATAAATACCTGAAGAAAAATTTTTTTGAGACAGAGTCTCACTCTGTTGCCCAGGCTGGAGTGCAGTGGTACAATCTTGCTTCATTGCAACCTCCACCTCCCAGGTTCAAGAGATTCTCCTGCCTCAGTCTCCTGAGTAGCTGGGATTACAGGCGTGCACCACCATGCCCAGCTAATTTTTGTCTTTTCAGTAGAGACAGGGTTTCACCATGTTCGTCAGGCTGGTCTTAAACTCCTGACCTCAGGTGATTCACTGGCCTTAGCCTCCCAAAGCACTGGAATTACAGGCGTGAGAAGGAATGTATTCTTTTTGCTTGATTGGTGTTTCTTCTTTTTCTTTCTTTTTTTTTTTTTTTTTTGTGAGAAAGGGTCTCAACTCTGCCACTTGGACTGGAGTACAGTGGTATAATCATGGCTCTCTGCAGCCTTGAACTCCTAGGCTCAAGTGATCCTCCTGCCTCAGCCTCCAGAGTAGCTGGAATCACAGGTGCACACCTCCATATCTGGTTAACTTTTCATTTTTTGCAGAGATGGGGTCTCACCAAGTTCCCCAGACTTGTCTTGAACTCCTCAGCTCAAGCAATGATCCCGCCTTGACCTCCCAAAAGGCTGCCATTACAGGGGTGAACCACCACACCCAGCCTAAAGTCAATGTATTCTTTTTAGACAGCCTATAGGATAGTGCTTCTTAACTCTGTTGTCAAAGCAATTCTTGAGCTGATGAGAAATTCCTAAATTTTTCAAGTGTTAGTAGGAATTTTTTAAGTGTTAGTTAGTAACTGATAGAGCAGGTAATATATACCATGCTTATGTCACTTTGCTCTGTCATTCTTAGTACTTACCACAGATAAGGGAAAAATCCTACCTGGGTCTCTATGACGGCTCTATGCATTATGTGAACATCCTCTAAACTGACTGTTGTGTATTATCTGAACCACTCAGTGGTTCCCAACCTCTTCAATATAAAAGATACTTTTCTTATTTATTCTGTCTACGAATTCCATATTTGGATAAATATTTTCTTCAGCAATGAGAACTTATTAGGTTCCTGATATTCTGAAAATTTATTTCAACTCTCTACTACTACTAATATAAATCTCTAAAATAGATCACAGAATGCAAACCTCACACTTAGGTTTCTATTATTGGTTCCAAAATTGAATATTATAGTTAGGCAAGATTCTCCACCCATAAGAACTGTAGATAAAAAGAACTATTCTATCATAACTTACCATTTTGACAACAGTTCCCCCCATGTTTCCAGAATTTTTTCTGCACATTCTTTGGATACATCACCAGATCCACTCAAGAGAGGTTCATCATTATCTATAATAAACAAAACACACAAAAATGGTAACAAAGGTGGCTATGCTAACCAGAAGAACGTTATAATGTTAAGAGTCAATTTTGAAAGACTTTACTGAGAGCATAAAGTCATAATTTCTCTCTTTTAGTATTTATGGATAATTACAAAGACAATAAAAATGGTTCTAGGTAAAATGCTGTAACCTCTTTAATTCTCTTTTGTTTTCCACATAGGTCCATATTATGTCAATTCAAAAAAAAAAAAAAGGAGACATTTAATTATAAAACTATAGGATTCAAAATACGGTATTTTCTCTCATTTTTCAAAGCAAAGAGCTTTATGCATAAAAATATGTCTTACTTAAAACAGTTAAAAAATGTCAAACCATCTAAGTGTCCAACAGTGGGAGTACAGAATGGCTGAAGAAATTATATGTATATAATGTAATTGCAGGTTGTTATTTATGTTTATATGATGATGATATGGTTTGGCTCTGTGTCCCCACCAAAATTTCATCTTGAATTGTGGCTCTCATAACCCTACATGTAATGGGAGGGACCCGATGGGAGGTAACTGAATCATGGGGGTGGTTCCCCCCCCCATGCTGTTGTCATAACAGTAAGAGAGTTCTCATGAGATCTGACAGTTTTATAAGCATCTGGCATTTCCCCTGCTGGTACTCATTCTTCCTCCTGCTGCCATGTGAAGAGGGACGTGTTTGCTTCCCCTTCTGCCACGATTGTAAGTTTCCTGAGGCCTCCCCAGCCCTGCAGAACTGTGAATCGATTAAGTGTCTTTTCTTTATAAATTTTGCAGTGAGCCAAGATTGTGCCACAGCACTCCAGTCTGGGCAACAGAGCGAGACTCCATCACCAAAAAAAATAAATAAATGAAATAAACCACTTTTCTTAATAAATTACTCAGCCTTGGGTATGAGAATGGACTAATATAAATGATACGGAAAAATACAGCATTAAATAAAAATATAAAGAGCTTAATCTTCATTATGATCTAATCTATGTTAAAAAATAGAAGACTGGTATAAAATATACCAAACACTAACAATTACTCCTTCTGAGTGATGGAGTTATGATTGGTATTTTTTTCTGCTCTTTTATGTTTTTATGACTTTCTAAATTTTCTAAAATGGCAAATATTAATTTATGTAAAAAGCAAAAAAAAAACTTTAAAAGACCAAAATAAATCATTTCTAACTTAATTCAATTAAGAAAAGTAAATTCAAGTCAGAAGTTAGAGATTGTAAGATATGAAGACAATGAAAAAAGTGACACTGATCAAGGCATGAGAGGAACTGAAAAGCATAATGAAAGCAGAGAATAAACCCGGACTAAGATATCTACTTAATCCTCTTGTTGGACACTTGGCGAGTTTTTAACTTTTTGCTACCAACAGAATCAGGATGAATATATGTCATTGCTTTCATCAGGTATGTGCTCAGAAACGTACTTTCTCAGTTTAAGAAAAATGCATACTTTTAAGAACACTGAAAATTTCTGACAAACTGACTTCCAAATGTTCTACCGATTTACAATTCCACTAACTGGGTTACAACAGTATTTGTTTCCATTTGTCTTCACCAACGCCCTTTCTAGAGTTGTTTGTTTTTATTTTTTGGCTTAACTTCCCTAAACAAAGTTTGGATCTTTACATCTCTAATGACTTGAATCTGCATCCCCAATAGAGACAGCAATTATCTGAAAAGCACTAATTTTAAAAACTCAGAAATCTGTGATACTTCTTACTCAACTTCTTTGTACTATAATGCTTGGACATTATCATCAGTTTTGCTGGTGAGACACAGAAGATGAGAAACCGAATATGAGAGATCTTCTGTATATGGATGAATAAGGGAAAGAAGAGAAAGGTTAGGCCAGGCATGGTGGCTCATGCTTGTAATCCCAGCACTTTGGGAGGCCAAGGCAGGCAGACCATATGAGGTCAGGAGTTTGAGACCAGCCTGGCCAACATGGTAAAACCCCATCTCTAGTAAAAATACAAAAATTAGCCAGGCAATGTGTTGGTGGGTGCCTGTAATCCCAGCTACTTGAGAGGCTGAGGCAAGAGAATCACTTGAACCCAGGAGGCGGAGGTTGCAGTGAGACAAGTTCACGCCACTGCATTCCAGCCTGGGCAACAGAGCAAGACTCCGTCTCAAAAAAAAAAAAAAAAAAAAAGGCTCAAGAGCACTAAGGTAGATGTCCCCAACCTCACTACCTTGCCAAACTAGCCCTGCTTTCTAATCTCTCAAGTAATTTTCTATTCATTGAAACACCAATACATTAAATACAACTCTTTGGGGAAAGGTGGCTATGAAAAATTACTAAAATTTGCTGGGTGTGGTGGCTCATGCCTGTAATTCTAACACTCTGGGAGGCCAAGGCATGCAGATCACAAGGTCAGGAGCTGAAAACCAGCCTGGCCAACATGGCAAAACCCCATCTCCACTAAAAATAAAAAAATAAAAACAAAAATTAGCCAGACATGGTAGCACACACCTGTAGTCCCAACTACTCAGGAGGCTGAGGCAGGAGAATTGCTTGAACTCAGCAGGCAGAGATTATAGTTAGCCAAGATCGTGCCACTGCACTCCAGCCTGCGTGACAGAGTAAGACTCTGTCTCAAAAAAAAATAAAAAAGAAAAATGTACTAAAATTTAGAAGGGATGATAATTTCTTCAAATATATTAGGAAGACTTTATCTTACAAAATTCTTGCTCATGTTTTGGATACTTTCAACAAATCTGGGCAGCAATAATTTAAAATCTGTGTTAAGAACCTATCTGCCTAAGGTAGGGGTAGGATAGGCATCTCAGTTTCAGAATGATGCTTCTAAACATCATTCTGGCCGGTTTTCTGCCAAATGTCTCATGGGTAAGAAGCTTCTCTGGAGAAATGTAATCATTTATTTCCTCAAAGCAAACAGATCAAAGCAGGACTGGTTTCCCTGGTTTGTACATTGGGTTAGGGAGAATTAAAAGATAGCATGACTACATAGTTTTCTTTAGTCCCAGTTCTCCTCTGTTATTAACTCTTCACTATAAAAATGGATCCTAGGGGGTTCCCCATACTGCCAATATTTATTGAGCACCTACTACATACCAGATATTATGGTATACACTAGGGAAACAACACAAGGCAAAAGCAGACACGCTCCTTTCTTTCACAGACCTTATGTTCTAGTCTTCCATGATTTCCCCATGGAGTACACACTGCCATTAGTCCTTATCTCTCCCTAGTTAAGAACTATCAGCGGTGGCCTTCTGAACCCCCTAAAAATTAAAAAAAAAAAAGTATGTCTGCTATAAAATAAAACTTGATGTCAGTCCTGATGGACCTTTAGTTGGGTCCAGATTTCTTTTCAACCAGCAAATATTCCTAAAAATCTGTGGTATGAAGATTTGAGCATTCTCTGATTTCTTAATAGTGTCTTTCTCAATTGTTTTGCTTTGTTTTGTTTTAATTGTTGAGTGTTAAGAGAGGAGAGTTATGTAAACTTTTACTCACTCTGTCACCTTAACCAGGGTTGACCTAGAAGAGAAACTACAAATCTCAAGAGTGACAGTTATACAACAGACGACTTCAAACAGTGGAAATAATCCACCTTTCCCAGATATAAAATACAACTTAAATTGGCTCTGCAGGGAGACTTTGAATTGCATCTCTGACATCAAAAACAATACATGTGCTTTTAGTGTACTTCAAAAATGCTTTATGTGAACTAAATGCAAGAGATGATGATAGACTACAGCTATGACTATGAACTCATAGACCTACATCCAAATCCTGACTCAGCCAATTTCTAGCTGTGTAACCTTGGGCAAATTCACCTTCCTGAGAGTCCATTTCTTTTTTTCTGAGACAGAGGTTTGCTCTTGTTGCCCAGGCTGGAGTGCAATGGCACAACCTTGGCTCACTGCAACCTTCATCTCCTGGGTACAATCAATTCTCCTGCCTCAGCATCCCAAGTAGCTAGGATTCCAGGCATGCGCCACCATGCCCAGCTAGTTTTTTGTATTTAGTAGAAATAAGGTTTCACCATGTTGGCCAGGCTGGTCTCGAACTTCTGACCTCAAGTGATTCTCCTGCCTCAGACTCCCAAAGTGCTGGAATTACAGGCGTGAGCCACTGCACCTAGCCAGATTCCATTTCTTTATGTGCAAAATGAGAATAGTAATAGATCCTATTTTTCAGGATTATCCTGAGCATTATATAAATAAAGCGCCTGCTTACTAAATATTAAGCACTTAGTAACTGGTAGCCATTAGTATTACTAATAAATGATACTAAGTTGATTAATCATAAGGGCAATGGGAGTCATAGCAAACAGTAGGTATTGGAAACTCAGTGCTCACTCTAAACAAGAAGAAAGTCACTGCTTACCCTAAACTTTAAGTACATATAATCATGGATACATATTTCATTTAACCAAATCAATCACTCTTGCCATCCCCATGCCTTTGTTAACGCAATTTCTTTTTTTCTTTTTTTTTTTTTTTTTTGAGACAGAGTTTCACTCTTGTTACCCAGGCTGGAGTGCAATGGCGCAATCTCGGCTCACCGCAACCTCCGCCTCCTAGGTTCAGGCAATTCTCCTGCCTCAGCCTCCTGAGTAGCTGGGATTACAGGCACGCACCACCATGCCCAGCTAATTTTTTGTAGTTTTAGTAGAGACGGGGTTTCACTGTGTTGACCAGGATGGTCTCGATCTCTTGACCTCGTGATCCACCCGCCTCGGCCTCCCAAAGTGCTGGGATTACAGGCGTGAGCCACCGCGCCCGGTCTGCAATTTCTTAACTAGAAATTCCAAATAACTCCACTGATGCCTACTAGATTCTCCTTGCACTTAAAAGTCCCAACTCAAAAACGACTCTTTATGACGCCCCACAACGTTCCCCACAACGAAAACCAAATTATCCTGTATGAATTTCCGGAACATTTCCTGTGAGCTTCACATATAGATACATGGCTCACATGACCTTATACTGTAATGAGCTTTTCTTCCATTAAATTTGAAGCCCTGATACTAAGTTAGAAATTAGAAAATAACTCTCGAACATTCATGTTTCCTGTGCCCCCCTGCCTTCATGCCTCATTAAAAGGTAATACATCTTTTAATAGAGAATGACAAATTAATTCAATAGATTTAGCCAGAAAAAAAAAAAAAGAAGAAACAAAGAACCAGTGGATTCTTAATTATCAGTGTGAATCACAATAATATATAAAGATTTATATTTATAAATATATTTGGTGAAAGGGTCATGTGTGAAAGCCACATTTTGGCAAAGTGAATTTGTTCCTGCAAAATGAATCTGCTGAGACAGGAATATTTCTTTAGGTGTAAGCTTTGTCAAATTTGTTTAAAAAAAAAAAAAAAGTACTAATACACCAAGCTAGCACTAAACTGATTGTTTAAAAAGAGCTAATTATAAATCTCATTTTTCCAACTGGGCTACAGGTATCTTAAAGAAAGCTCAATGTTAATCATTTTAAAATCTCCCACAGGTGCTTACATATAGTAGACTCTAATAAGGAATTCGTTAAATGAATTCTAAATGCCATATCACATTATCAATCCCCGATACAACTTTAATAGTTTGCATGGTTCTCCCCCACCCCCAGTAAAAATTAAGTTATCCATACAGTTTACCTTCCTCTTCATCATCTTCTGGAGGAGAGGGTATCACTGAACTCTGTGATCCAGACTGTGGAAGGCGAACTGAAGGACTCGCTGTAGTTTTCCTCCTCTCTCTTTCTGATTCACTTTCCAAGCATACAACTTCATATAACGTGTCAGTATTACTCTTTCTCTCCTTTTGCTTTATCTTGAGGATGGAAAAATATTATTTATTAAGCAGTAAAATTAATTATGCTTTTAATTAAGCACTACCTCTGATTTCATACAGGATGTGAGAATAAATAATGTTTCTTTGGGTATCTACATTAAATGTAACTTTTTAAAATAGAAAAATATATGTTTAGATCTTAAAATCCTTAGGAAAATAGGACATTTACTGAGCAGTACTCTAGTTCGGCAATTTGTCTTCAAACCATATTGTCAAATATCCAATTACCAATGTTTAGCCAGTGTCAACTAAAAAGCTAACAGTTCTGTATCTTCCAAATTAATTAAGGTATCCTTTAAGGTTTCCTATATAAAACTATATGGAAAAGGGTTTTAAATTATTCTAAAACATAAGCTTTAAGAAAATTCTCTTACTTCTAATGTTTCAGTATTTTATCCCCACTCCTTTTACTTATAACAATGTAGATAACTTTTCCTTAAACTGAAAGCTACAACCTGGAGTGGGGGTGGGACCACAGGGAGGTAAACGGCAGGGGGCACATCAACAATAACCACAAAAATTCTGATTACTCCAATTGATTTGTATCTTGGTTTTACTTTGAGGCAAACATATAATTTAAACTGACTTAAGTTAAAAATTTAAAACCCAGAATATAAAACTTTACACTACAATACATATTGTAAGTAAGTACATTAACATTCCACATTACAGACAATATAAGGAGGAGGAGAAAAAAGCAGCATGAAATATAGGGAAGAATGAAAAGAGAGAGCTACAGAAAAAGGTACAGAGAAAACTAGAAAGGTGGCTATGCCAAAAAGAAATATACACATACCAAAGTAAAAACACAGAAAGGGAAATGGGGGAATAAGGTGTTCATTAGTTACGGAAATATCAGACAGAACAGATTTTTATCATTGCAATGTACATTTGGGTTCTTAAAAAAAATTACACCTATCATGGAAGTAAGGCCAAGATTGTGGCAACAAGTTCTTTCAATATCATCCTGAGGCACTGTTTAATACAGAAGTTGATAAACTTTTCTGTAAAGGGCCAAATATATGAGCCAGCTGTCTCTATTGCAACTACTCAACTCTGTCCTTACTGTGCAAAAGCAACCAAAGACAAATGAGTGAGTCTGGCTGTGTTCCAACAGAACTTTATTTAGGCCAGGCCACGTTTGACCTACAGGCTGCAGTTTTGCCAACTTTGGTTTAACATGTCCACCCAGGGATTACTTAATTTTCTAGATGAATATGCCATTTTGACTTAGTTACTTACTATTAATTAAGGACTCAGACTCCTAAGTTACACGTTAACCTATAGATTTGTGTACAGGAGATATGCAAATGATTTCTGTACAACAGAAAATATAACCCAAAGGTTACCTATAGGACATTGACCAGTAACATTCTTTTTCTGAAAGGAAGCACCATGTAAATTCAAGTTCCTCAAGTACTCAGAATCAGTGTTGCCATATTTCTGGTTCTCTCATTAATTAATACACTGATAATTAATTGAATATTTGATACATGTTCATTCTAAATTTATAATAATGATTAATTCTTAAAAATTGTACTTTGATATGAAACAATTAAAAATTTTTGTTTTGTTATAAATTGCTCTTTGAAACATCAGACAATTGGTATCCTAACAGTTCAAAGATCAGCAATAGCTCTTTATTGTAAACAAACCAATGTGGTTCACTTAGAAACTCTTCTGTAAGTCATAGTGACCAAAGCACATATTGCCTTTTGAAGTCAGATATAGTCAATGACTGGACCAAATCTGTAAGTCAAAAACTCTAACTCTGAAAAATGTTAATTGTTGAAGCTGGGTAATAGTACATACGATTCGTTATACTATTTTACAATTTCTGTGTATGTTTGAATTTTCTATAGTAAAAAGCTTTTTGAGTTATGTATGTTAAATATAAAACTTATATACATTAAATTATACATATAACAGGTTTTAAATTATATATAAAATTTAAACGTTTTTAAATTATGTATCTTATATTTATGAAATATACATAAGTTATATACATATAAAATAATTAAAAGCACTGTGATAAGACAAAAAAGTATAGAACTTGAATAAATGGAAAGACATCCCGTGTTTCTGGATAATTGACATCATAAAGATGTCAATTTTCCCCAATAAAGACACCAGTAGTGGCCAGGCGTGATGGCTCATGCCTATAATCCCAACACTTTGGGGGGCCACACACTTTGGGAGGCCACCGTGGGCAGATCACTTGAGCCCAGGAGTTTGAGATCAGCCAAGGCAACAAAGACAAAAGCCTGTCTCTTCTAAAAAAAAAAAAAAAAAAAAATTAGCTGGGTGTAGAGTCAAGTACCTATGGTCCCTGCTATTCAGGAGGCTGAGACAGGAGGAACGCTTGAGCCCAGGAGGCAGAGGCTGAAGTGAGCCGAGATCATTCCACGGCACTCCAGCCTATGTAATAGAGCAAGACTCTGTCTCAAAAACAAACAAACAAAAAACAGGCCAGGTGCACTTGCTCACGCCTATAATCCCAGACCTTTGGGGGGCCTAGGCAAGTGGATTACTTGAAGTCAGGAGTTCAAGACCAGCCTGGCCAACATGATGAAACCCTATCTCTACTAAAAATACAAAAAATTAGGTGGGTGTGGTAGCACGTGCCTATAGTCCCAGCTACTCTGGAGGTTAAGGCAGAAGAATCACTTGAACCTGGGAGGCAGAGGTTGCAGTGAGCCAGGATTGTGCCACTGCACTCCAGAGTGGCAAACAAATGAAAAACACCAGTTTTTTTTTTCCAGAGCTAGACAAGGTGAACATAAAGTTTATATGAAAAATAAGTAAGAAAATTCAGGAAAACTCACAAAAAGGAGTATTTGGGGAGGGAAGGTAGCCCTACCAGATATTAAAACATATTATATAATCCACATATGGCCGGGTGCACTGGCTCATGCCTGTAATCTCAGTACTTTAGGAGGCCGAGACAGATGGATCGTCTGAGATCAGGAGTTCGAGGCCGGCCTGGTCAACATGGTAAAACCCTATCTCTACTAAAAATACAAAAATTAGCCAGGCGTGGTGGTGTGCCCCTGTAACCTCAGCTACTCAGGAGGCTAAGGTAGGAGAATTGCTTGAACCTGAGAGGTGGAGGCTGCAGTGAGCTGAGTTCCACTGCACTCCAGCCTGGGTGACAGAGCAAGACCCCATCTCAAAATAAATAAATAAACATAAAGTATACACAATTACAACAGTATAATACTAATGCAAGACCAGTGGAACAGAACATAAATACCAGAGAGAGGTCCAAACACACATAGAAATTTCATACATGATAAGGGTAGCATTTCAAATCACTGAGTAGAAAAGTTAATTGTTTTTAATGAATGCTGTTGGGATAAGAGAACATCCATTTGGAAAAAGATTAATTAAATCCATACTTTATGCTATATACCAGAGTACATCAGAATAAAATACTAACGAATCAGACATCTAAAAGCAGTAAAATGAAACCATAAAAGTATAAAATAGAAGACTAACAGAAGAGCGTATTCTTTTTGTAACTTGGGAGTTAAGAAAGCCTTTCTAACTATGATCCCAAATCCAGAAAGCTTTAAAAGAAAATATTGATAAATTCAAGGACACAAAAACAAACTGCATGGCAAACCCAAAAAGAATCACCGTGACGTAAGTTAAAATAATCTCTTGACTATACAAACAGCTTCTAAAAATAAAGAGGAAAAAGACCAAAATCAAAGAGAAAAATGAAGAACGAGCAAAAGATACAAATAGAAAATTCACAGAAAAGTCACCCTTATACATTAAAAAGGCAGAGGATAAACTAAAACCATCACTGCCTCACTGATCAGATCCTTAAGTTTGGCAATACACTCGACAAGCCTGCAGAGAAATAGGTATTCTCATACTCTGCTAATGTCCATAGTTACACCCTCTATAGAAGGGAATTTGGCAAATATAAACAATATCATATATATATTCACCTTATGTGGCCAGTGATTATACTAACAGGAGTCAGATGTACTTTCATAAAATCAAAATAACACATACAAAACAGTCCACACTGGAACATTATTTGGAATAGCAAATGACTGGAAACCAGTCCAAGTGTCCATCAACAGATGACTAGTTGAAAAGCCCATAGTTCATCCAAACAAGTCAGTACTAAATAGCCATTAAAACGGAAATGAGGAACTCTCTATGTACTGATTTGGAATGATCCCCAGGATATATTAAGTTTACAAAGCAATGTATAGGACAAGATATATGTAGTATGCTCATTTTTATTTTAGAAGGAGGTTAAAAATATACAGAATTTTATCTTCACAAAAATAAAATTGGGATAATAAACCAGAAACCACCAACCCAAATGCCCATCAACGATAGACTGGATAGGGAAAATGTGGCACATATACACCATGGAATATTATGCAGCCATCAAAAAAGATGAGTTTGGGTCCTTTGTAGGGACATGGATGAACCTGGAAACCATCATTCTCAGCAAACTGACAGAAGAGCAGAAGATCAAACACCGCATGTTCTCACTCACAGGCGGGTGTTGAACAATGAGAACACATGGACACAGGGAGGGGAGCACTACACACTGGGGTCAGTTGGGGGGAAACAGGGGAGGGACGGTGGGGGGTGGGGAGCTGGGGAGAGATAGCAAGGGGAGAAATGCCAGATGTAGGTGATGGGGAGGAAGGCAGCAAATCACACTGCCACGTGTGTACCTATGCAACAATTTTGCATGTTCTTCACATATACCCCAAAACCTAAAATGCAATAAAATAAATAAATGGGGAAAAAAAAAAAAAGAATATTCTAGACAGAGGGGAAAAGCATCTGCGAAGACCCTGTGGCAGGACCAGATGTGGCAACCCCAAGAACCAGCAAGGAGGTCTGTGGGCCCAAGCCAAGGGAGGAGTGAGAGGGAGGCTGGTGGGAGATGAGGCTGGAGCGTGGACCTGAGTGGGGAGGGGTGGAGGGCCACGGCCACTTTT